TTAATGGATTTAAGAAGATTTGGTAGTTAAACATACATTCACTCAATTCAATATAATCTTCGTGTTGTCGATTCTTCTGACTATCAACGGTTAAGAAAACTATTTTTCTTTTCGATGACTATATAACACGACGTCTTGTGATTGTGAATAAAGACATGATAAACATGTTGTGTTCTTAAAAACCTTTCTTATGGAGTTAACAAAGCCCCATGTTATTAATAGGGTACATGTCATTTCGATGTTCAAAAAATCTCTAAATAGTGAATGAGCATTCGCAAAAGACCTAACATCTATATAAAAATAAAGATTTTACAAGGCATCTAGGCATCAATTAATTATTTACCTGTTTTTTTTTTTTTTTTTGTAAAATTGAAATTTAAAACAAAATTTTTTAAAAAATGGAAAATATACCTCGTGAAAATGCTTTCTTTCTAGATAAAAATTTATGGAGTTCACCTGTCTAAGTAGAAATCTTGTAATGTTTTTCTTCTGAGAAAAAAAAATTAAGAATTCAAGCCTTAACAATTTCGAATAAAAATATAAGTTCAAAAACCTTAAAATGTAAATTAAAGCATATAAATATGTACTAAGTATAAACATTTTCTTATACAAGCACATCCATGTTAACAACCTGCTCATTATCAGATTCAAATTTGATATCAATGGCAATATATGCTCTTCATTAGAGTCAATGATAGGTTCAAAGGCCATGAATACCTCAACGTGTGTTGTTTGTAATTTAGTGGGATTATGGGCTAAAAGTGTTTAATTCCTATTATTTAGGTGTTAGTTATTGTTTGATTATGTCTGTTTTTGTTTACGTTTGTGTAACTTGGTATGGAGGGAAACTTGTCTTAAGTTACTTGTGTTCATTTTTTTTATTTTTATTGTCTTGATCAACACTTAACTGGGACCTATCAGTCAATATCTCCTCCTCTATGTTTGTCATTTAGAGCGTAAATATGTTCAACATCATGCTCTTCATACCTATCACCTATGAAGTTGCTTTGTACAAAAAAAAAAAAAAAAAAAAAAAAAAAAGTTGCTTTGTACAAATTATTCTTCTACGTTTCTTTCATATCCATCATCTAATAGCACGTAAATATTTTTTGTATTTGAAATTGTTGTTGAACTTCGCAACCTGTTCCAAGCTTGGTTCGGGTCCCGACGTTCTAGCTAAAGTTCTCCACAAGTATTTGTGCTCTGTTTACGTTGTCTGTTAGCTACTTCAAAACTCTTTTGTACATATTTATTTTCTCAATCAATTTAACATTTCATCAAAAAATTTGTAATTGAACTAGTAGTTGGCATTGAATTGAATATATACTAGACTATAAAATTGACTAACATCTAGTATATTCCTTTTTTTAGTACGAATTCCCCTATATAAGTTTTAGACTCAAAATTTATGTTCTAAGTTAGATTTTTATATCGAAAAGATGCACTTTGGTCATCATAAGAAGTAGAAGATTTAGGATAATCCATTTTGGAGAATATCGATTCCGTTGGAAAGATATGAAGAGCTTATGGAATAAGAGAGAAGGCCTAACATTGGAGCACATACAAGCATTCAAAGAGTATGTTAATATTGTTTTAGTAAATGCTCCACACTACACATGCTATCGTTTCCTAACATTTGGTCGCTTAAACATCGATAAGCCTAATCCATGCAAAATAACTGGTTTTGATTATTGGACTATGGTTTTTTGAGGTGACCTTAATTAGCAGAGGTAGGTTGTAGGTATTGACTGTTCTAGGTATTAACTTAGAACAGTCAACACGTTAGACTCTCCTAGCTTTCCATAGCCACCGAGATCTCTTGATTTGGTAATCGGGAAGACCTCGAACGGACGCCATACTTCTGAGGCATAGAAACAGTCTTGAAACGGGATTTGATCGTCTTTTACTCCTTTTTGCTTGAAAACACATTATTCATTCTTGAAGCATAAATACTTGAAATCATCCTTAAAATCTCCAATATCTCATGTTTTCTCCATGGAAAACCTAAATAAAACATAGTAAAAGTGGGCTAAAATACGATGTTATCAACTCCCCTAGATTTAGACTTTGCTTGTCCTCAAGCAAACAAGAAAGCGAGAGGTTTGAAAAACCTTGGGAATTCTCTTAGTATCAGAGACCATGTACTAAAAGATATCCTTCGGACGCATAAAGATAGGGACAACACGTTAGAATATACTCACTATAGACGACTCAAAACTTTCACCATCCTTATCCTTCCATCTCGAACCTGTAAGAGAACTCTGAAATCACATTAGTTAACTCTCTACATTCATTAATAAGTGGCGTGAGCCTTTCTCATTAGAAGATGTCATTCGGGGTAGACGGCACTTGTAAGAAAGGGGCTTTTTGGTGTTTAGTGGTGGAGTTTAAGTGTTTAGGATTCCCGTAAGTCTCGAGAATGCAGGATATGTCGCAAAACCGCAAGAGAGAACGGATCTGTTGAGGTCCACAGTTTCCAACTACTTCTTCTTGAACACCTCATCTCCTTACTTCTTTTCGTCTTTTCGATTCCCCCAGACTTAGGCTTTTCTGTAATGATTCCATCTCTCCTCTAAGTGATCCATGTCTTTCCTTGGGATCTCTCTGTACTTATAAGACTTTTTTTTTGTAACCGCTTCCATTTTTTTTTTTTGAAAGGAGAAGCGGTACTTATTATATACACGAGTCTTATAAGCACGAAATAAGTACCTTTTGAAATCGGATCCCAAGGAAGAATAAGCTATGTACCAAATCATCGCATCCTCTCTGTAGATTCTGGATCTCCGTCTTCGTGGCGGGAAACCGTGTCGTTCCTTTCTCTCCGATGTTTTTGCACATAACTGCTAAAATGAGAAAAAGAAAAAGAGAATGCGTGAGGTCTGAAAAGAGGATATGGTTTTAAGGGTAGGAACCACTGAAAGTGAGTGGCCATTCAGGATCAGCAGAGAGTGGTAAAAAGGGATAAGAAGTCCTGAATGTATATGCTCGTTTCCCCGATCTAACACCTCTTCATGAGAAAGAATTAAGTTCAGGTTAGATCGTCCAAATAAAATAGAGTTAACTTCCGGTCAAACAAAGTCTTGTAGCTAACAATCTCCCTCTGTGTCAGAAAGAATGTCATTCTAGATTTTTATTTTTTTGTTTCACAAAGAATGTCATTCTAGTAATTTTTTTACTAAATTTTCTGATTTACCCTTAACCCAAAGCTACTTTTCATTGAATTTCAATCATTAATCACTTAGTAAATAGGTACACATGTATAATTTAAGATTTTCATAATTTTTGTTAAATGTGTTGACATTTTTTATGAAAGAGAGGGAGTATAAATGTGACATTTAAGGTTATCAACAAGTTTTATCAATATCATAAATGTGATGACTACCACATTTGATTAACTCCGGAGAAGTGGCATTTAATTTGGGCCTCGAATATTAAGTACATATGTACCTACAAAAAAAAAGTTACTTCTAAATAAAGTATTAAATAAATTATTATTATAATTTTTTATATAGTTGAAATGTAGTAAATCTGAAATACATTTTTTTGTCAACTAAAATATTTGTTTTTATGTTTGTTTTAGATGTTTTTTAGAATGAATAAAATTTTTGATTCCCTTCATTCTCTTGCCAAAATATTGTAGGAAATATTTCTTTTAAGTTTGTTAAACTTTTTAGAATGAATGAAAATTTGAAAAATTACTTTGTTCAATCAATTTTTTTCTAACCAATGGCACTTCACACAATGACAATGGTAAAGAAAAATATCAATATTGTTTCTGAAATTTACCTAGTTTGACCCAAATTTAGAGAAAAATAACTAAATTAACACCCAAATAATGTGGTTTACTAGAAGAACATAATTTTTATGTTAAAAAACCAAATACCCATCTTATTTTGAATTCTATTAAAATAAAATAATTAATCTATAATAATTAAATTAAATAGAAAATTAGAAGAAAAAAATAAATAACAAAAAAAATATTAAATGAAAAAAAAATACAAAATGATAAAATAACAAAAAAAATATAAAACCAAATATATATATATATATATATATATACAAAAAATAAAAATACAAAATGAAAAACTATTAAACGAAAAAAAATACAAAACGAAAAAAATACAAAAAAAATAAACAAAATACAAAGCGGAAAAAATATTAACCTAATCCGCAAAAAAAAAATAAAAAAAAACAAACTTATAGCCTTCTGTCATTACCTATTGTGCATATTAAAATTATATTTTCATCAATAAAACTGACATCATACAAAAACAGGGCTCACGTTGCTTCAATAGAGAAAGAAAAAAAATAGGTCACGTTATTTTGAATAAAAACACTAAAATTGTTATGTTGACATATAATGATTTTAATGTCAAATATGGTAACTGATTTAAACAAGTCAGTCATGAAAAGAAAAAAAAAATGTCATCATTCTAAGTCATATTCTACTTATAGAAAGCAGCCAGAAAAAAAAAAAAAAAAAAACTTTCATCATAGGAATTCAAAATTTCAAATCTGTCGTAACACAAAACATTATAAAGGTCATTCCAACAATTTTGTTTGTCTTTTAGCAAATCTGTCATCAAAAGACAGATATGTGGTTATATAACTTAATTTGTTACTCTGTCATTACATAAAAAAATTATATTTAAAAGAAATTTGCTGACAGCTGTTACACGATATCATTACATATAACAAATCTGCTATCATTAGACGTCATTCTAGTTATTAATTTTTAGTCAACAAATCTGTTACAACATGACAGATTTTTCAGAAAATTATAAATATGTCGTTTCATACAAAATAAATCAACCACACATTACAATAAGCCTGTCACAAATTTTGAAAGTCTGTGGTTGAATAAAAAAAAATATCTCTAATCTAATAAAGTTGTTGACAAAAATAAAAAATATCAAAATCTGTCAACAAAAAATAAATCTGCTACAATTGTTTTTAGTCTGTCATAACCATATTTTAAAAAATCTGTTCAACCAAATAAGTCTGTCAAAAGAAATATGTCACGAACACATAAATCTGCAGTATATTAATTAATCTATCACAACTAGACAGTAGCTTTTGTAAAATTGCTGGAATTAATTTTGAAAGACATTTTTGTATTTGTTTTTTTTTTTCTACACATGAGACAAGATTATTTGAAACATGAAAATAACCCAATTAGCCCAAATTTTTTTTGAGACAATCTAGTAATTAAACTCATAATTTGGATTAATTTAGTATCTTTCCATATTGTTTTCTGACGTTTTCATCAGCTGTACCATTCAAGCAAATATTATTTCTTTGCGTGACAACTTAAGACAAATTTCTAAAAGAATAATAAACATGGCAAAAGTTTTTTTTTTTTGGTCTTTTCTTTTGACGTTTTCGCCACACTCGTTTTTATTATTCTAGCAAAGACTGATTCTTTTGGGATACAACTTTGAAAATTTTCTAAAATATTATAAATTCGCTGGAGTAGGTATTATAAAGGTATTAAAATCTTAAAGATCATGTCACATATGGTTGAACAGTCCGCTGGAGTTATTAATAAATTTTATATATGGATCTGCTTTGATCATTTCTGAAATTTCGCTGGACCCTGAAACTATAATCTATGCAACAAAAATATATATTATCTATCATATAACCACTTGTGGAGCCTATATGATTAAAGTGATCAAGTTTCATATCCAAAACCTTTTGTGGAGCCTATATTGCTAAAAAGGAGAGAAAAACAGTCGGTGAATAAATATGGCAGACACGGTGGAGGCGATGCCCAATCCTTCTCTATTAGGAGAGCTTGAGGTAGAAGTTGAGATCAAAGCTCCCGCGGCAACATTCTACCACATCTATGCAGGAAGACCACACCATGTGGCTAAAGCCACTCCTCGCAACGTCCAATCATGTGATCTCCACGATGGGGAATGGGGTACCGTAGGCAGCATCGTCTTTTGGAACTACGTTCATGGTAATCTCTAAGATATCCTAAATATTTTGTGACTATAAGATTTGATTAAAAAAAAAAAGATTTGATAGGTGAATGTTTTGGGTGTAGAGGGGCAAGCAAAGGTGGCAAAAGAGAGGATTGAATTAGTAGAGCCAGAGAAGAAACTGATAAAGTTTAGGGTCATAGAAGGAGATGTTATGGCCGAGTACAAGAGTTTCTTGATCACGATTCAGGTGACCCCGAAGGAAGGAGGAGTTGGAAGTGTTGTGAAATGGCACCTTGAATACGAGAAGATTGATGAGAACGTGGCTCATCCAGAGAATCTCCTCCCTTTCTTCGCCGAGATGACCAGAGAGATCGACGAACACCTCTTATCCGAGGAATAAATAGACTCTTGGTAATATTTATATATTGTGTGCTCTAGTTGTAGATAAAGTTTATGCGTTTGTTGCATGATGATCATATGTTTGAGATTGCTTATAGTTGACCTCATGTTTTATTTTGTGAGTTGCAAATTCTAAGGTTATGCGTTTGTTACATGATAATCATATCTTTGAGATTGCATAGTTGACTTCAAGCAACTAATATATATTGGTTAAATGTAATAAATGTATTGTTTTTTTTTTTTTTTTTTTTTGTCGTCAACTTAACTTTCATCATATTGAAACTGAAGTTACATCATTCCATGATATTACAAAGTTTAATTTTCTAATTCTGGCATCTTTAGCTAACCTATCAGTCACACAATTAAGCTCGCGAGGAACTTTGAAAAAACTTATACAATCACAGCAAGCGTTTTTATATCTATTACATGAGCTAAAAGAGCTGAGTGTTCTTGCTGTTGGCGAGAGGCCTAGCTTGGCTTGCTGAAGTCGTGAGAAGAGATTAAGTGCATCTCCACAGAACGTAACGTTTTTATACCCCATTCTGTTTACATGAATCATTGCAAGCCTTAGCGCCTCTGCTTCAGTTTCCAGCGCTGTATTCATGGGATTGATAGCAGCCATTCCTCGGAGTACAAACTGCGCATTTTGATTATATAGGACCCATCCTATGCCTGCTCCATCTGTTGGAGAGATCCAAGAGCCATCTACAAAACATACATAATTTTGCTCTTTATGAATAAGATCTTTGAGGACTCTGGAAGCATGTAATATATCCTGAGGAATGTTTCTATCTCTGGTTTGACCTCCTGCTGATGTGTCCTTATTAACTGTGAGGCTTTCTTTCCATTGCTGGTAATCCAACAGAGCTTTATTAATAATATCTGGAATAGGCGAATAGCCCATTGCTTATTGTTGAAATATAAATCATTCTTCATTTTCCAGATACGCCAACCAATGAAAGGGAATAAACTTACATCCTCTCCTTGGTTTTTGCTCAAACTCTGTAGTGATTCCAGATTTTGACTAAAAGAATCATGGATAAGGAAAGTACCTGGGGCTGTTTGGTTTAGGACATGCTCCCAGATCTCTCTGATGACTCTACATTGGAATAGAAGATGATTGACTGTCTCATCAAAATCTCCACATCTCTGGCATATATTGTCAGCAGTCATCCTCCTTTTCCTCAAATTATCTGCAGTAGGTATGGCATTATGAAGACATCTCCACCAAAAATGCTTAATTTTCTAAGGGGCATTGAGCTTCCATATGGTGGAGAAAAGATTTTGAGATGGAAACCTGATTTGTAAGAGAGAAACGGCTTGAGGTCTCTGCAGATAGTTTACGCCAGAGCTGGTATCCTGATTTAACTGTGTATCGACCATCTTGAGTATATATCCAATGAAGTATATCATTTGCACCAGTAACCGAAGGCCTCAGATTTATGATACACTTGATATCTTCATGGTCAATAAGCTGTTCAATCAAATCTTGATTCCAGGTACCCTGTTGTAGCAGATCAGCTACTGTCAAATTTGGGTATATATGTTGTCCAGGGCCTCGAGCTGGTCTGGGAGGTTTTAAAGGCAACCATGGATCCTTCCAAACATTAATTGCTTTGCCATTCCCTACTAAATATTTGAGACCATAAGATAAAAGGTGTGTACCTTGAGTGATACTCTTCCAAGCATAGCTATCTTGGGTTTTTGTTTTTGCTTCAAAGAGGGAATGCTTAGGATAATACTTGGCTTTAAATACCCTTGCCATCAGTGAAGTTGGTTGGTGAAGTAGTCTCCAACTCTGTTTTGCTAATAATGCAATGTTGAAATCTTTGAGGTCCCTTATGGCCAGCCCTCCATCTCTCTTTAAATTAGTAATTGTCCTCTATGCAATCCAGGGAATCTTATGTTTTTCTTTAGAGCTAGACCACCAAAAACTTATCATAGCTCTTTCAATCTGGTTAGTGATTTTCGAAGGCAGTGAGAAGCAGGACATACTATATGCAGGGATAGCTGTAATGATGGACTTGAGAAGTACTTCTTTGCCTGGAGGTGAGAGAAATTTTGTATACCAATTTGACATTTTCTGATCAACTCTCTGAGCAAGATATGAAAAAGCATTCGTTTTATTACGTCCCACAAACTCCGGGAGGCCTAAATATCTACCAAAGCCCTTAGTTTTATGAATTCCCAGAATCTGACTAATACATTTTTTTGTTTCTGAATCAGTTCCTATACCAAAAGTAATTGCAAATTTCTGGATATTAACAGCTTGACCTGAAATTTTCTCATATTGATGGAGGATGTGAAGTAGAGATGAACACTCGCTTTCTGTGGCTTTGCAGAATAGCAAAGAGTCATCTACAAAGAGTAGATGTGAGATTGCAGGACCAGTTCGGCTTGCTTTGAAACCATGAATATTTCCTGATTTAATGTTCTTTTGGATTAAAGCAGATAGACCCTCTGTACATAACAAATATAAGTAAGATGATATGGGGTCACCTCGACGAATGCCTCTATGGGGAGTAATATTCCCAACAGGCTGACCATTTACAAGAACTGAGTAGGTAACAGTAGTGATTCACTTCATAATCCATTTGCACCAAGTCTCTGAAAATCCCATCCTTTGCATCACAGCTTCAATAAAAGACCATTCAACTTTATCAAAAGCTTTAGTAATATCAAGTTTAGTAGCAATAAAAGGTTGAACACGCCTTCTAGTATTGAGAGAATGTATTAACTCATGAGTAATCAGAATATTATCAGTAATCATCCTTCCTGGAATAAAAGCAGTTTGGTTTTCAGAGATGATAGTGTTCAACCAAGGTTTGAGCCTTTCTGCTAGAACTTTTGATAAAATTTTATAGGCAACATTAGCAAGACTAATAGGCCTATAGTCCTTGACTTCAGTAGGATGGTCTATTTTTGGGATCAGACAGATATGTGTATGATTGATAGCAGGATCCAAATTAAAATTTTCAAAGAAAGGCTGTGCAAATTTCAACACACCTGATCGAATAGTAGCCCAATGGCGTGGTAAAAACCTGGATTTAAGCCATCAGGGTCTGGAGCCTTTTCTCTTGCCATTTGATGAACAGCTCTATATAGTTCTTCCTCAGTAACAGGTTTTACAAGATCATCATTCATTTCCTGGGATACACGAGGTTGAATGTGCTGCAAAGCCTCAGCCATATCTTCTTGACAATCAGAAAAGAAGAGAGCATCAAAATAATCTATTATTACTCTGTTAAGATCCTCTTCAGAGTACCAAACCTTGCCTTGAGAATCTGCAATTGCCGTGATTCTATTGTATCCTCTTCTTTGCTTTGTTTTCTCATGAAAAAATCTTGTGTTTCTGTCTCCCGCCTAAAGCCATTGGATACGACTTTTGATTCTCCAATACTCCTCTTCCATCCTGTATTCAATTGTTAGCTCAGATTTTAAAGCTTTTATGCGATTGAAATCAATGGGAGAAGTATTATACGCTTGCTTGATTTTTTCCTTTAGATCTTGAATTCTTTTAGCTGAGTTGTGGAAATTATACGACTTCCAGCGGGACATACAAGATCTGCATCTTTTCAGAGCTTCATGAAATTGATCTCCAGGTAGATCTTGACAATCAGCTGTCCAAGTTTTTTTCAGTTCTTCCTTTAACTCCTTGTTAAATCGCCAACGATTATCATATCTGAACAAAGCATATCCTCTTCTTTTTTTTTAACACCCGTATCAAGCAACAGTGGACGATGATCAGATCCTATCCAATCCAATAGCTGTACATAGGCTTAAGGAAAAGAAAAGCATCTAACCAATATGCTGAAGCTACAGCTCTGTCAATTCTTGATTGGACAGTATGTGTGTATCTTTGACCATACCATGTATATTTTGCACCCACTGTTTTCAAATCATGAAGACCAGAGGATTGGAGCATTCGCCTGAATATTTTGAAAGAATTCTCAGACCGTACTAGACCTCCTATTTTTTCAGCATTACTCTTGATATCATTGAAATCCCCAAGAACTAGTCGAGGCTTGCTGCGATACATTCCTCCTTGGGCCTAGACCATCATTTTCTCCCACATAGCATTCATGTGTTTCTGATCTGGATCGCCATAAACATAAGTGAGGCAAAAAGTAGGATGACTAGAAGAAGATACATATCCGTGTAGTTTAGAGTAGGAGGATCCAAAAAGTCAATATGCACACTGTCATTCCAAAAAATAGCCATTCCTCCACTAAGGCCGTCTGAAGGGATAATATAGCTATGATTATAGCAGAGATCCGTAGCTAGACTATTCACATAGTTAAAGCCGTTCATTATTTCTATGAGGAACAAGATATCAGGTTTAGAAGACTTCATGATATCTTTTAGGTAAGGAATTGTCAGAGGGTTCCTCTTTAGCCCCTGACAATTCCAGTGCAATATCCTCATTCTGCTAGTGGTGGCTTCGGGGTTGCCACCTCCCCTGCATCCGTTGTCTGTTCAGGTGCCTTTGTTCTTCTTTGAGATGTTGAAGCTTCATCTTCATCGTCAGCCACGTCAATCTTGCGTTAAATTCCTCTATCTTGCTGTGTCATTGAAGCAGATTCTATTTTACGAATGGTAAAGGTTTGATTTATTCCTGCTTGGACTTCAGCTGGATGAAAATATTCCATGATATCTCCTTGAGAACCCGTGGGTTGATGATGCTCTGATGTGTCCATATTGATATTGGATCCCACTGTTTCACCCATGGTATCATCAGCTACTTGTGTGGGTGTGTGAGATTCAGAATCCATCTGGATATTAGTATCTCTGTTTTGCTCCATATTGGACTCATGTATAGGAGCTGGCAGAGGGAGTGGTTCCACTTCCTGAATGTGGGTGTTGCAAGTTGCTGCCATATGGGTGAGGCTCCCACAAGTAGAACAAAACTTTCTAAGTTTTTCATAAATATAGCGAATCAGAACAGGCTCACGATGATCTTCCAAAGTGAAATAACGTGCAAAGATTAACTTTCCTGATATGTCAAAAGGAACACGAACCCATACTTCACCAGCTTTGTCTGCAATTGGTTGTTGTATGAAGACTTCCTCCACATGATTTAAACCCAAAACACCCCCAATCTCCTTAATCGATCTATCTTCCTTGCAATCATCAGGTATATTTAGGATTTTGATCCAAAAACGGATTACACAGAGATAATCAGGATAATTCCTTCGAGTCCATTTGTCAACAACCACCAGCCAATCTTTATAGGTCCATGGTCCCTTGTCCAGAACTGTAAGCATTTGATGTTCATGTTGAAAGAAAATTTGGACAGAACCATCTTCATTGATTCGGCTTGTGATTCGCCCTTCAAGTTTCCAAATTTTTGGCATAATGACCTTGATACCTGCTGGGTTCTGTGAGGGATGCAAACCTTTTACCACAAGACTGAGGCGATGATCCGTTTCTCGCTTCTTATTTGCCTCTACGGATAGCGTCAAGGGTGTCCTCTCCGAGCCTAAATTGAGATTTTGCAAAGCAAGCCACAGATCTTTTTCACCCATGATGAGAAATTAATAGATCCGATAACCGGAAAGAGAATCCGCTGCCGGCGGAAGTCGAAATCACTGAAGAAATTAAGGCGGTGAACTACTGTTGAGTCGCTTCTAGAGTCGCCCAGAAAGAGAGAGTTTTTTTGTAATAAATGTATTGTTTTTCTTTACAAATATGAAAAATCTAATCGATTGAATAGAGAATTTTAGATAAAAGAGGAACTTTGCAATTGCAATTGATACAAAAAATAGTTAAAGATAGAGTAATTGTTGAGAATGTATAAACACAGACCAAACCAAAAATGTTCATTAGAAACATCAAACCAAAGAGTCAATGGTTTTCCATGTAAATGATTCTGTTTTATCAAAGTTCATGTTTTATACCGGGGATTACAGTAGAAATATACAAATAGTTAATGAAAAACCACAATTATAATTATTCATCATCGAATGTCTAAGTTATCTAGATTTTACAGTGACCAGTAGTAATCAAACTGTAATCTTGGTAGCAACATCTCTTAACCAAACCAAACCGAATCATACGTCCCCCATAATCCAATTCATTCAATACTCAATAGGCAAATTCTCTGCTTCATATCTAACCGAATCGAACAATTTAGTCGATAGATAACGTTCTCCCCCACTGGGAAAAACCACCTGCAAACCAAACAATAACCGGGATATTAACAAACCCGGTAATAGTTCGGTTAAGTCAAAGCTTATGGTCAGTCAGAGTCAGAGACAGAGCTTACTGCAATGAGTTTTCCTGTGTTTTCTGGCCGCTTTGCAACCTTTAACGCAGCCGCTGCTGCGGCTCCAGAGGATATTCCCACCTGCCAAATGAGTGATCACATTTAACAGAAACTTCATTTTTGTTTTTGTCAAATTTCGGGTTTATTACACCGAGAAAACAACGTTAACCGAGTATACCAATAATCCTTCTTTGAGGGCAAGAAGCTTGGCTGTTTCAATAGCTTCCTCACCTGTCACCTAAATCAAAAGATTCCAGATCTTAGATTGCTTGTTCAAGATCAAGAAGTAGATCATCTCAGGCTTACTTACTTTAATAATTTCATCAACAATTGTTAAGTCCAAATTGAATGGGATGATTCCAGAGCCAATTCCCTGGATCAAATGTGGACCTACAAATATGAAGTCCCAAGAACCGATATTATCATTAGAAATGTAAGAACTCGGACAAAAGAACGATGATCTTGAAGATAACTTGGAGCGTATGTTAATGTTCTCACTATATATATACGTTGGATCTCATACCAAACAAAAGCTAAATAATATTTGTTGCATAAGATCTATCAAATATCAAATGCTCATTTTCTAACCTGGTTGGCCTCCGCTAAGTACCGGACTTTCTTCTGGTTCCACCACACAAACCTATAGATCAAGATTGTAACCGAATTATTTAAAAAAAAAAAAACCAATGTGTTAGTTGTTTTCAAGAATTGGTGAAGTTTTTTGAACCTTTATGTCTTTATTCTGCTCCTTGAGGAACTTCCCTACTCCACTAGCTGTTCCACCAGTCCCAACACCAGCAACCAATATATCTACTTTCCCAGCTGAATCTCTCCATATTTCCGGCCCCGTGGTTTGGTAATGAATCTGCAGGATACAAACTTGAATTCAACCATAACAGAGAGACTCAAAGGATACATATTCTTGGTGGATGCATGATATTATTATACAAACTTCGGGGTTTGCAGCATTTTCAAACTGTTGTGGAATGTAACCACCAGGAGTTTTGCTTAATATCGCGTCGGTTTTCTCCAACATTCCTTTAAGGCCTATCCGCTGTTCCGAGAGATGAAGCTCTGCACCTAATGCCTTAAGAATGATTCTTCTCTCTAAACTCATAGTTGAAGGCATCACAAGGATCACTTTATAGCCTCTTGCAGCTCCGACACAGGCTAAACCAATCCCGGTGTTACCAGCCGTTGGCTCAATCAATGTACTCTATATAATCAATAAAAAACAATTTAATTCCATCTATGAAATTGGAGAAAATTATATGATAACTTTAAATGTTTCTATTAACCTTTCCGGGAGTAATCAATCCTTTCTCCTCTGCATCTTTGATCATACTATACGCGATTCTGTCTTTGACACTAGAGAAAGGCTCCATCATCTCAAGCTTTGCAGCGATACGAGCCACGCAGCCATCAACAACATTGTTCAGATACACCATTGGTGTGTTACCAATCAACTGCACAATCATATCAAATGATCTTACACACGTTCTTTATTTCAAGAAAGTAAAGTGATACATAAGAACTTAGAGATTTTTACTTCAGTGACATCGTTCTTGATCGAGCACCGATCTTCCATGTTGTTCTGTTTTCTGAAACTACTGAAAATTTAATATTTGGCTACAAGGATTATGGAGTCCAATAAGGCAATAACCATAGAAGAGGTAAAGAGATTATGTCCATAGTATGAGATTCAAAAGTCAAATTAAAGGCTCTATTTACCAATTCACAAGATTCATGAACAAACTTGGCACTCGGGATCAAGAAAGGGTAAGAAAACAGAACAAAGAACAGTGAAAACTGAAAACCAGATAATTTATATATCAAAAATCTAACAGAACACAACCGAAAACAAAAAGAGTCGTACCTTGATGGAGTTTAAACGAATCAATGAGCTAGTTAGTGAAGAAGAAGAAAAAATTTAAACGATTTTAAGTACAAATCAAAGACCAGGCTGTATTATAGATTCGAATTTATATATAGAGACTACCCTACTCGCATGTGGTGCACACTGAACGATGTTAAAGTATGAAGACGAGTTTGTGTCATCTTGTAATAATAATGTTAAATATTAACATCTAAAAGTTTTTGTCATATTGTGTAATGTGAAAATAACGTCCAATACTATATGTTTGTTTTTATTTTTTAATGTGAAGATAACATTTAACATTTTATTTAAAAGATTTAAGAGCATTATGGTCCTTTTCTCTAATTACATTACTAATCATGTGTTGTCCCTTGTCCGGATAAGATTATGACAAACGATCGAATAATATTACAACAAGTCGTCACAGATCAAATTTTCGTAACCACATCCTTTTTTTTTTTTTTGGACGAAAAAGCATATAATTAGTAAGTAACACATTACACATCAGTTTTTTTTAACCACATGCTTTTCTTAACACAAATCAAATTTTGAAATTTTCATAACCACATGCATTTCATTTTTCTAGAATATAATATGTCGTTATAGTAAGTTAGTAGCACAATTTGCAAACGTAATCGGTAATCCTTCCATTGGTTGCCCAAATTACTTCAACTTGCAGAAACGGTTTTTGGTCAAATGTTTAAATGTGATTAATTTATTATTATTAACAAGAGTAAATTGCATGGCAGAGCATAAGACCAAGTTTTAATTTCATGTTTTGGCAAAGTGAGAATTGGCTTTCAAGTTTTGATAATTTAGCCAAAATTTGACCATTTTACCCCTACCAGCGTACCGATGCACTGTTCACTGTACGGTTCAGTTTAGCGGTTCAGTTACGTACACTGTTCCGGTTAAGCAATATATTTCGTTCTTAATTGATTTCTGCGGGAGTACAGTGACAAATGGGGATTAATAACATTAAAAAACAATGAGACATCAGGATTTAATTGAAAAGACTTAGAATCAAGTAGGAAAGATAGAGATGAACATGGTGAATAATAGAGAGAAAGATGATTGATTGTAATGTGATAAAAGTTACAAATGGTTTGGGGCTGCACACGATTTATATAGGGAGCTCACTAGGTCAAGATGGGTATGCACATAACCTTAAAAGCATCCTCATTCAGCCTAGTGAGTCACCGTGTGCTTTAGCCACTTTCCAGCTCATGACAACGGTCATACACTACACGACACGGCCGTACACGCGCTTAGCACCATCCGGATAAGGATGGTCTCCTTCCCGCGTCCGTACGGTCCAAGATGACCGTTACCTCTCTTCCTCTTATTCAAACCAGTTACTTGCATAACAAGAAACACATTTCATTCATAACTATTACTTAGTTAGAATAAAATGTCTTCTTGATCAATACTCCCCCTCAAGTTTATACTACAATAATCATTGTTATAAACTTGACACTTATGCGAGTGACCTCGTTAAAAACCTAAGATTGGAAAACCACGTGGGACAAAACCAATCTTAGGGAAAAAGAGTATCATTGACATAAGCAGGGAAGTTCTCTCAAGGGTGTGTTAGGTCTACAAGTCCGAGTTTGCCATGAATAAACTTGCAAGCTTGGGTACTTGCTGCCTTGGTAAAGATATCGGCCAATTGGTCCGAACTTTCAGTGTAACACGCACTACAAGAAAACAAGCTTTTTGTGACTCCTAAATTAGTCCTGAAACGGTCGTAAAATCGCTATTTGCGACTATTTTGTGACTATTTAAGTTGGTCGCTAAAAAACAGTCGCTAAATAAAATGGTCGCATAAATGTCGCATATTTATGACGCTTTTGAGACGGATTTATGTAGTCGTACATAAACGACGGTTTAGTGACGGATATTAATAGTCGTATATTAGAGACCAAATTGTGACTGTAAGTGGAATGGTATATTAGCGACCTTTTAGTAACAAACTACAAAAAAAAAAATTTAAAAAAAAAACAAACTAATTTTAATATACAAATTAAATAAAATGAAAGAAATATAATTTTATTTATTTTTAAATTCATTACAAACAGACAAATACAATATATATATATATATATATATATATATATATATATATATCTATACATTTATACAAAATTGACATCGACGATGGACGGAGCGACCGTAGGCGTCGGAGAACAAAACCATGGCGGCGGCCAGAGGATCTGAGATGCAACGGTGGAGGGTTCGAGTTCACGTATGTTGGGGGTGAATTGGCGGAGGCTTCCAGATGTGGTGGTGGTGGTGAACGTCATCGTCTTTAACAGTGGTCCTAAGCTACCACCACGACCTCCGACGTCTCCAGTTCTTTAGATTCACCATTTTCGTTAACGTTGATTCTTCAGATCTACTAATGAAACCCAAAATACAAATAACGAATTCTTCAGATCTGCCAAAAAAATAATTAAAACACATAACAAAATCTCGATTTCCCTAGATCGATCTCCATATTTGAAAAAAGAGAGAACTAACCTTCTAGGAATCATTGATTGATTGAATAAAGATTTAATCCTCTGAGTTTCATGATTTCACATGAACTTGACGAAGAGGATACGGCGAGAAAGAGAACAGAGGAGAAAAAGT